TATATATACTGCATATATAATAATATATAATAACAATATATAATAATATATAACACAGTATACGTATGCCCATAGTATGTATATTATATAGATGATATCTTACTGTATATACAGTATACGTATATCCCTAGTATATGTACTATATATATGATGATACCTTACTGTATATGTAGTATATATATATTATTATATATAATATTATAATATAATAGGATTCTATCTTCCTGTCTATACAGGATACGTATATCCCTAGTCGATATTCTATATTGACTAGGGATATACGATATATCGATATATTCTATATCTATATTCTATATTCTGTCTTCCTGTATATACTATATGCATATATCCCTAGTATATTTACTATATATACAGTGATATCTTACCGAGGAGGATCCACCCAAACACCACGACCATGTTTTAATTTGGGGGGCTCACAGAACACCCACATGGGCTCTGGCCTCCCCCCCGGGGTGCCTCCAGCCACGACCCCGCGGCGGTGCTTGGGTCACGCACCCCCCAGGGCTTTACGTCGGGATTAAGGCTGACCCCAGGAGGTTTTTTGGGGAGCTGAAATGAGATTTTGGGAATCTCCTCGTGTCCCCCCCCAGGCGCCGCACCGCCTGCGCCAGCTGACGGGGCTGGAGAAGCAAACCCTCTACGTCGGCCCCCAGACCGTGCCCGCGGCCCCCCACCTCCCGGGGCTCTTCCAGGGCACCGAGCTGAAGCCTGACGAGGTGAAAGGCGGCCACAGGGTGACCGAATTCCTCACCTACAACTGCCTGGCCGTGAGTACCCCCCTCTCCCACCCTCTTTTACATCCTCCTGGGGGGGGGGGCGTCCCATTTATATCCTTGTGCCCCCACCCAGACGGACACCGACCTCTACAGCGAGTGCCTGCGGACCTTCTGGACGTGTCCCCACTGCGGTCTCCACATGCCCTTCACCCCCCTGGAGAGAATGTGCCACGAGAGCTCCTGCCAGCCCACCGAGGGTGAGCCCCCCGGGGCTGAGATTGGGGACATTTGGGGGCAAATTTCCCTGGGGGGGGCGCAGGGAGGGTTAATAAAGGGAGAGGGGTGGCGGTGCTCATCACCGTGCCCTGAAAACGTGGCACAAAATAAGAGTTTTGGGATGGGGGTGGGATAAAAAGATTTTGGGGGTGATCCTTAAAGGGTTTGGGGGCTGATTTTGCACTGTCTGCCCCCGCAGCCCCCCCGGAGGAAGAGGTTGGGGGTTCTTCCAAAACCTCCGCCCTGCACCGCCTCTACCACTGCGACATCTGCCAGCAGGACTTCACCCTCACGCCCACCGAAATCCTCCGGCACAAGAAGCAGCACCAGTGAGCCCTGGGAGGGTGGAGACCCCCAAAATTGGGGGAGCCCCCTGCTCTGCTGCCCTTGGTGTCCTTGGAGACATCAGCCGCATCCTCGAGGACGTGGCGTGGGTCATCGTTGACACTGTCACGTTGCCTCAGGTTGGGAAAACTTGATTTAAGTTATTTTTTTTGGTGTTAAATATTAATAAATATTTTTTTTATTATTTTTGAGAAGCTGGGTGCTGTCCTGGTGGCGGGGGCAGGGTTTTGGGGAGGTTTCCCCTGCCCCGTGCTGCTGTACGGCGCGGCTCAGCCAGTGTGTGGCACTCCCACCCCGCATTTCATCCCCTGCCTCCTCCTCCTCTCGCTGCATCGCTGCAAAAGGCACCCACGGGGCCCTGCCACCACGTCCACGGCGTTCCCAAAACCTCGAGGAGCCTCAAGACTCAAAAACCAACCCCAAAAACCAACCCCAAAACCCCGCGGCACCGCTGAGAGGTGACCCGAGCGCCCCCGCTGCCTTCCCCTGGGAGGTCTGCTTTCAAGCCGTGGCTGCAAAAACGCCGTTTTGGGGGCTGAAAGTGGCAATTAATTAAAAACGAAAAGCAGTCTGGTGGTATTTTTAGCTCCGTGGCGTTTTTATTTGCCAGGAATTACAAAAAAATAACGCAGCTCGAGCGCCGTCGTGACACTTTGGTGTAACGAGCTGCTCCCAGAGCAAAGTTTCTTGGGATTTTAATTTTTTTTTTTAAGACCCGCAGCTTTTTGTGCAGATTTAAGTCTCGCAAGGGCTCCGTGGCCATAAAACGGGTGATAGAGGGGAAAAGGAAAAGCCTGGATTATTTTTTTTTAGCTCCAGCAGCCAGGCGTGGCGAGGGAGGATGCCGAGCGCTTCCTCATCCCCTTTTTTTCTCGGTAAATTGAATTTTTTTCCCTTTTTTTTCACCCCTCGGCTCGCTCCTTTGCCACTTGCCGTTCGCCTTGCCTCCTTGCTCGGGCTTATCCGCAGTTAATTACCTGGCAGGAATTAATTAAGCGGGCGCTTCGCTAAGCAGCTTATTGGGGTTTACAGGCAGGGGGATGCTAATTTGGGTGGTGGAAGCGGCCTCCCCCCACGGTAAGCATCCTTCTTCCCCTCCCCACCACCGCTTGCTTCGCTCGGCTCCGATTTTGCTTCATTTATTTAATTTTTGGGTCTTTTTTCGCCTTCCAGCAGGGAGGGGGAGTCCCCGTTGCCGTGGCAGCGGGGCGGGATGGGAGATGCTCCTGCCATGGCAACGAGCATCACGGGGGAGCTTGCCGACAGGTTTTGCTTTATTTTTTGCTTTTTTTTGGGGAAAAAATAAGCTTTTGCTTATTTTTGCTTAACCACTGCTTTGCTTAACCACCCCTCCCCGTCAGCTGCACGGCAGAGGGCGACGCGAGTTGGGCACCGAAAATATTCCCTGGTTTGGGTTTGGAAAGAGGCAGCTTCACGTCGGGTCATGGAAAAGCCAAATGGGAACCCAAATTTGCCCAAACTTGCCCAAACTTGGGCCCCCAAGCCAACTGCACGGCCTCGCCTTGATGGAGAAAACCCAACAGGATTCGTCAGGGCTCCCAAAAAGCTCATGGCACGGAGGAAAAAGGAGGCGAGGGGATGGAGGAAATTGCCTTATTTCTTTAAAAATCAGCTAAAATAAACTAAAAACTAATTTACCCAACCGAAAATTAATCAAGGCGGCCGTAACGAGGGGAGATTCATTTGCTCGGAGCCCTGCTAACGAAAGCCACGAATCCAAACCCCGCGTGCTAAATCGCACGTGCTAAAATTGTTCATTTTTTTTTTAACAAATTCCCAAATCCTCTGGATCCCCAGCCCTGTGGCGTGGGTCCTCCACCGGGGAACATCTTCCAGCCCCAAATCCTGCGGGAAAACACCCCGATATTTAACAAACCTCATTAAAACGCTTCCTCCGGGAGGATTTCCCGCGTCCTTGGGCCACATTTTCCAACGGAATGGGAAACGGTGATTTTTTTTGGGGGTGGATTTCGCGAAAAAATAGAAGAGCTCCAAGCTCTTCCGCCCCGTTAATGACCTCGTTTTGTTCTTTGCAATCTTCTCATTATCACCCTCGTCAGCGCCGTGTAGGTCAAGGCAATCGCATTAACCTCGAATTGAACCCAAGGCCGTTGTTTGGGGATAATTAAGCCCCGTCGTTAACGAGGTCGAGGCCGAGGCAGAAAGCTCCCAGCTGAGCTCTGGCTTCCTGTTGGCCTTTTTTTATTTTTAAGGGATTTCTCTGAAATTTAACCACTTTCAGGGTGGCGAAGGGATGGAAATCATCGGCGGAGGGTGGGCTCAGAGGAAACGCGTGGTCTTCTTCTGTGTATTTGTGGGCTGGAATTAGGGAGTAGGGGGTGAAATTAGGGGGTGGGAGGTGAATTTGGGGGGTGGGAGGTGAATTTGGGGGGTGGGAGGTGAATTTGGGGGGTGGGAGGTGAATTTAGGGGGTGGGAAGTGAGTTTAGGGGACGGGAGGTGAATTTAGGGGGACAGGAGATGAATTTAGGGGATAGGAAATCAATTTGGGGGATAGGAGGTGAATTTAGGGGATGGGAGGTAAATTTAGAAGGTGGGAGGTGAATTTAGGGGGTGGGAGGTGAATTTTGGGGACGGGAGGTGAATTTAGGGGACGGGAGGTGAATTTAGGGGGTGGGAGATGAATTTAGGGGGTGGGAGGTGAATTCAGGGGATGGGAGGTGAATTCAGGGGATGGGAGGTGAATTTAGGGGGTGGGAGGTGAATTTAGGGGATGAGAGGTGAATTTAGGGGGTGGGAGATGAATTTAGGGAGTGGGAGGTGAATTTAGGGGACGGGAGGTGAATTTAGGGGACGGGAGATGAATTTTGGGGGTGGGAGGTGAATTTAGGGGGTGGGAGGTGAATTTAGGGGACGGGAGGTGAATTTTGGGGATGGGAGGTGAATTTAGGGGGTGGGAGGTGAATTTAGGGGGTGGGAGATGAATTTAGGGGACGGGAGGTGAATTTAGGGGGTGGGAGGTGAATTTAGGAACAGGAAATGAATTTTGAGGATGGGAGATGAATTTTGGGGGTGGGAGATGAATTTAGGGGATGGGAGATGAATTTAGGGAACAGGAGATGAATTTGGGGGATGGGAGATGAATTTTGGGGGTGGGAGGTGAATTTAGGGGATGGGTTGGGCTGAGCTTGCCCGGAGGAGGGCAGATGGAGTTTTTTTGGGATGCTCTCTGCTCCAAAATTGATTTTTTTTTTTGGAGATGCCACCACCACCCCGTTCCTCTTCCCAGCACCACCCTTGTGGGATGTTCCAGCTGCTTTTGCTCTTTTTTTTTAAAAAAAAAAAACAAAAAAACAAAAACAAAAAAAAAAAAACAACCAAACAAAACACTCATTTTATCCCCAAACCCCCTTTTGACTAAGTCGGATTAATTCAGCCCAAAAGACTAAAAATACGGGACTTCGCGTTGACAAAGTGCAATAAAAATACTCTTTTTTTTTTTTTTTAGGAACTTCCATTTGCTCACCTATCCGAAAAAATGAGAAGAGCCAGGCATCATCACCGCTGGTAGGAGAGCGCTGTTAAAAATTAAGGATCAGCACAAATCTCGCTGCTCTTTCATCATTAACAACGGTTCTGTAAAAAATAAATAACGAAAATAAACCCCACACCTCTTCATCCTGTTTTACTGCTCTATTTGCCCATAAAAAGACCTTTTAAGCGTAAAAAAAGCTGCGCTGTGCCGTAGCAGCCCTGGGTGGAGAAGCCCCACGAGGCTCCACGTCGTTTTGGGTGGAAATCCTGCGGGATAGGGGATGGAGAGCATCCATCAGGCTCAATTTTTTTGTTGCCCGTGGGTTCTGAGGGCAGTGAGAGGAGGAGCTGGCTGGGAAAGAAGAAAATAATTCAAAAAAAAAAAAAATGAAGAAAAGGTGGGGAAATGCTAGAAATAATTTCTGCGATATTCTGAGCTAACCCTGGGTTTTCCCCAGAATTTCGTCATGGAAAGCCCTCTCCCAGCACAAGACTCTATTAGTAGTTTTTTTTTTTGTTTTCTCCCCAAAATGCCTTTCTGGTGGCGATGCACAAGCCCAAAGCGTGCAGCAGATGCGATCAGGTTAAACCTGCGGCAAGCAAACACGGGGGAAGGAGAGGCTGAAACGAGATTACGCGGATAATTCGATTAAAATTTCCCTCCTCGTGCAGAGGGTGCTTGACGGGCGGCTCGAAGGACGGCTTAATTACGGTTTTTCAACCCGTGAGGAACCGGAGATTTACTGTGCTGCTCCAGTTATGAACTCGGATTTCGGAGGAGCAAGTGATAAAAAAGATGCTGTGGGCTTGCTGGTGCATTTCTGGGGAAAAAAAATGAGAATCTGAGAGAAATCAGGTTCTGACAGCAGATCTCTCTTGGTTGGGTGGATAGAAGTGGAAGAAGATCCAGCTGTTGGAAGCACAAAGCAGATGCACCGTGAGCAAGGTGACAAAGAGGTGGTAACAATAATAATAAATAAATAACAAAAAAAAATATATAAAAATAATTAAATAAAAATAATAAAATAATAAAAAAAAATCACTCATTGGTTCATACCCAAAATTGGCATCTCCCATCACTCATTGGTTCGTACCCAAAATTGGCATCTCCCATCACTCCTTGGTTCATACCCAAAATTGGCATCTCCCATTGCTCGTTGGTTCATACCCAAAATTGGCATCTCCCATCGCTCGTTGGTTCATACCCAAAATTGGCATCTCCCATCGCTCGTTGGTTCGTACCCAAAATTGGCATCTCCCATCGCTCGTTGGTTCGTACCCAAAATTGGCATCTCCCATCGCTCGTTGGTTCATACCCAAAACTGGCATCTCCCATCACTCGTTGGTTCATACCCAAAATTGGCATCTCCCATCCCTTATCAGTTCGTACCCAGTGATGGAATCTCCCATCACTCATCAATTTGTACCCAAAATTGGCATCTCCCATCGCTCGTTGGTTCATACCCAAAATTGGCATCTCCCATCACTCATTGGTTCATACCCAAAATTGGCATCTCCCATCGCTCGTTGGTTCATACCCAAAATTGGCATCTCCCATCGCTCGTTGGTTCGTACCCAAAATTGGCATCTCCCATCACTCATTGGTTCATACCCAAAATTGGCATCTCCCATCACTCATCGGTTTGCACCCAAAATTGGCATCTCCCATCGCTCGTTGGTTCATACCCAAAATTGGCATCTCCCATCGCTCGTTGGTTCATACCCAAAATTGGCATCTCCCATCACTCGTTGGTTCATACCCAAAATTGACATCTCCCATCGCTCGTTGGTTCATACCCAAAATTGGCATCTCCCATCGCTCGTTGGTTCATACCCAAAATTGGCATCTCCCATCTCTCGTTGGTTCATACCCAAAATTGGCATCTCCCATCACTCATTGGTTCATACCCAAAATTGGCATCTCCCATCGCTCGTTGGTTCATACCCAAAATTGGCATCTCCCATCGCTCGTTGGTTCGTACCCAAAATTGGCATCTCCCATCACTCGTTGGTTCGTACCCAAAACTGGCATCTCCCATCACTCGTTGGTTCGTACCCAAAATTGGCATCTCCCATCACCCGTTGGTTCGTACCCAAAATTGGCATCTCCCATCACCCGTTGGTTCATACCCAAAATTGGCATCTCCCATCACTCATTGGTTCGTACCCAAAATTGGCATCTCCCATCACTCATTGGTTCGTACCCAAAATTGGCATCTCCCATCACTCGTTGGTTCGTACCCAAAATTGGCATCTCCCATCACCCGTTGGTTCATACCCAAAATTGGCATCTCCCATCACCCGTTGGTTCATACCCAAAATTGGCATCTCCCATCGCTCATTGGTTCATACCCAAAATTGGCATCTCCCATCACTCATTGGTTCATACCCAAAATTGGCATCTCCCATCACCCGTTGGTTCATACCCAAAATTGGCATCTCCCATCGCTCGTTGGTTCATACCCAAAATTGGCATCTCCCATCACTCGTTGGTTCATACCCAAAATTGGCATCTCCCATCGCTCGTTGGTTCGTACCCAAAATTGGCATCTCCCATCACTCGTTGGTTCATACCCAAAATTGGCATCTCCCATCCCTCATTGGTTCGTACCCAAAACTGGCATCTCCCATCACTCATTGGTTCGTACCCAAAATTGGCATCTCCCATCGCTCGTTGGTTCATACCCAAAATTGGCATCTCCCATCACTCGTTGGTTCATACCCAAAATTGGCATCTCCCATCACTCGTTGGTTCGTACCCAACGTTGACGTCTCCCATCGCTCGTACCCAACCCCAGCCCCACCAGCTCTCAGGCCCCACATTTTGGTGATGTTTTGCTCATCGTTTCTTCATCCCGTGATTTTTCTCCAGCCTCCCATTAAGGTGTGGGTGCGTTTGTCACCATCCCCTCATCGATTTTCCCCGGGGAAGACGCTGGCAGGCGCCAGCCCGTGATGGATCTGCCCACTTTAGCGCGTCGATGCCGCCGAAGCCATCGCCGCTCTCTCCGCTGTTTTTTATTCCACGTCTTGAACGATTCGGCCAATTCATCTGGGAGGTGAAGAGAGAGAAATAGCACGGGACAGACACCTGCAAAAGCCTGGAGGAGGCAGCCGAACCCTCGCCACCCTCCCCGATGGAGCAGGCGGGAGCGGTGATTTATTACCGGTCAGCTCGACGTGGCAGCTTGCAGCTAAATGGGAGCCCCATTAAGGCGAGACAGGACGCGGATGGAGGACCTGCCACCGACAGCTCTCGGGGCTGCAAAGCATTGCTCCACCCTTGCATTTAAAAAAGAAAAAAAAAAAAAAGTGATTTTTTTTGGGGGAAAAAAAGTGTTTTCAGTGTTTTCAGAGTTTTTGGGGCAGGCTGCCCTATGCCACGTTTTTTATGATTAAAACCACAGCGCGAGGACTTTTTGCCCAAGTTCTTCTGCTTTTTGTGCTGCTGAAAGCTTCCCGAAATCGCTCTGCTGCGGGAACGGCGCGGCTCGTTAGGGGGAAAATCAGCCACATGCAATTACGAGCAGCGCAAAGCGCTGAATGCTGCGGAGCACGTAGCAGCAAAAGCTTCTCAGAGGGATTTGTTCCTCCCCTCTCTTACCCGAGAAAGGAAAAGTCAAGGAAAAACCCTATTTACGTGCTGCTTTTGGGGGCGGGAGGTCAAGGAGAGCTGCCCAAGACAAGAGAAATGTTGTTCCAGCTCGTTAAGGCGCCGTGAGCAATCACTGCTGCAGCGTGCAAATTGGAGCACAATGCAAGGCTTCAAATCCAGGCTTTTTTTGCAGGTTTTGCTTGCAGGCGAGGCGTGAGCTGAGGCTCGAGCCGAGGGGAAAGAAATGATCGGTTTTGGGAAAAAAAACGAGGGAATTTTGCAGGAGGGTTAAGTAGGGTTGTGGCAGCAGAGGGCACGTGGAGCCTGCCGGATCCTCCTTGGAGGTGCTGGGGTGGCTTCAGGAGAAAGCTCCCAAGCCCCAGCCAAAAAAATTAAAGGAAAAAAAAATACCAGAAATACATAAAACTCACAAAATTGTTCAGCAATCCCAGCTGGGAGGGGTGATGGGGGGGTGCCACCTCCAAAATTTTGCTCGGTGTCCTGCTGCGCGCGGCTCTACCCCAGCCCTAAATTCATCTTCTGGCCCTAAAACATGTAGGATGGATGGGGAGGATGAATGGATGGATGGGGATAATCTTGAAAACAAACAAAATTGGGAACGTGCTGCAAAGACATGAATCCACTCCCTGCTCCTTTGCTTGACAGCTACGCATAGCCCTGAGCCTACACCGAGTAAATCTGTCCTAAAGGACAATATTTAATATTTATTTAGGACAATATTTATTGTCCTAAAGGACAATATTTTTTAATAAAAACCTAAAAAAGAAGAAGCTTTGTCTGGATGTTGCCTGCAGTGCTTGGATCTCGTTACCCATCGCCCGCCATCCAAAGTGCCCAACTCATCCCTCCTAATCCCCGCGTTTATAAAACCCATCTGCATCCCGGGGATTATTTTCCATTATGCATCATTAGTCCCGGTATTTACAGAAGAGCCGAAGCGACAATGAAGATCGTTGTTTGGAGCACCCAAAATCCTTCACGTCGCGTGTTTGCTCCTGGGGTATCCGCAGGAATTGAAATGTGGTCTGGAAGCAGGAAAAAAAACAGGGGGGAACGCAGCTCCTTGGTTTTTGGAGAGGGTGAAAATGGCAGCCCCAAATCTGGAGCATCCCTTTTTGGGGAACAAGCACGAGATGAAGTCCACCAGGGCCAGGTTTGGAGGGAGGAGCATCCCTCGGGGAAGAAGCCCACCACTCCCATCCCCATCATCTTCCCCACGGCACAGGGGAGATCTGCTGAGAAAATCCAATTTTTTAGGAGGAATTTTTATAATTTTTTATAGGAGGAACCAAGCCCTCCCTTGCACCCCCCCTTCCATTTTCCCACCCCAAGGAGCCGCTTCCACGCACGCCGCGGGCTGGCAGCCACCCAGCGGCACTCATTAACCAGGAGCTTTCACGAAAAGCTGCCCCTGTTAAAGATTTTTTTTTTTAATATTTTTTTTTTTAATATTTTTTTTTTTAATATTTTTTTTTTTATTTTTTTTTTTTTTAATTTTTATTTTTCAGCGTCATCAAAACGCAGCTCG